GATTAGTCATTGAATGAAAAAGGCCGATTCTGTCATTCAATATTAAGTGGACAGGTTTAGTTTCGCCACCTTTTACTTTTCCAACCAGTAATCCTGGCACACATCCAAGCCGAGCTACGTTTCTAGTGGATGATAACGCCCTGGCCTTGTGGTGTCCTGACACACTTTTCTCTAAAACCTCATGCCAAAGGTGCCTCTTCACTTAATGAACACTCATATCTGTCAATACAATTCAGTCCTATTAGACATACTGTAGTTATTCCATTAGATTTATGCCAACCGAGTTACGAGGCTAGACAACCATCTTAAATTTATATCTGTATGACCTTTTCTTGACCCAGTGACGATCTTGGTGTCAACCTCGGCACTTGTCCCAGAAACATGGCCTTCACATCTTGTACCCATTGTGCATGGCCACATTTTTACCTATGTTATTAAGCTGTTGGTAGCTTAAGATATACTAAATGCTTCAATGTATATTTGTTGTCCGCAGAGTCCGTAGGAAAGCTGCCTCCATCCTCAAAGACCCCACCCACCCCCAGCATGGACTGTTTGCACCCCTACCCTCCGGCCAGAGGCTCAGAAGTGTGAAATGCAGGTACTAACTGAAAAACTTTCCCTCTGCCATAAGACTCCTAAACAGCTGACTCAGGAACTACCTCATGTAATTCCACCTGTACCGTTTACATGCTCAGTTTGCACATGCATAGTTGCACATTCACTGCTAACCATTTGCACACACAGCTCCCATGTAGCATATATTCACTCTTCATTGTACTGTGTTGTGTTTTTGTGGGAATGTTTTTTATTCTTCTTCTTTCATTGGCTGTTTTAAAGCACCTTAGATTTTGTTTTACTAATGTATCACTTTATATTTCACTTGTATTGTGTGGCATTCATGTGGATGGTGAAGTAAGAACTTCATTGTACAGGGAAACACGTTTCCTTACTGTGCATATGACAATAGACACTGATTTTGTGGGAGAACATAATTAGCTGCACCATCTTGAGAGTAGATATTTTTGAACAAAGTAAAGCTACAATCAACACTGCCTAATACAAGGCTGTGGTTTGGCGTCACCGTCACCTTTCCTGAAAGACACTACTTCCTTTTAGGTTTTAGAGATATCTGTACTTTACAAGGAAGTAGCTGAAAGTATAAGAGGCGTTGCTATAGTGTGAGCTGGCATCAGTGACCTTTTCTGCATATTTACCTTACAACCAGTCATCCTGAGATCTTTGGCAGATATTATGTAGATTTTAAAACCTAAAGACACAAACCATGTGAGTACTTTCCATAGATGTGTTTTCTGTGACTATAGGGGTTGTGCTAATTTTGCACTGGCCTCCTCTGACAGCATATAGTGGGGCAAGCGGCCTAAGCCTTCTTTCTAATTAAACATTTTTACATGCATCATTTCAATCCCTTGGCTCCGAGTCTAAGCCAATGTAAACAGAGAAATGAATTGCCATTGCGTTAACTCATAAGGACCTACATCTGGAGCAGCTTGCCAGCTGTTCTCATCACCCTGCAAACCGTTACTGACATCACATTGTTTATTTCTGGATATAATGATCCAACACATATGTACCTTTTTTTTTTTCTCCTTGGCTACCGCTGTAAGTTTGGCTCATAGTGTGAACAGAACAATCCTTCACAGTGTTTTACATGTTGTAGTTACTTTTTCTTACTCTGTGAATAGCTGAGCATTTGTCCAGGCATTTCTTCACTCAGTTTTGGGGAGGTGAAGAAAAAGTCTCCAGGGTCACACCATTGACAAGCAAAATCATCTCGTGCAGTTGAGCCACTGAAATTCCATTCCTCTGTTGAGACATCTATTGTTCCATTTCTGGAATCAGCAGGTCCCAGTCTGAGCAGCAGGTTGTCCTCCTCAGCTGAAGAGGAGAGCAGAGACCACAGGAACACCACCTGTGTCTGTCAAACCAACCAAAACCAAACAGAGGCAGAGTTGTCACAGCATGGGGAGTTCCAGAGCTGAACACAGGAAAGAGCCCAGGGGAACAAACAAACAAATGAAGTCCAGTAACTCCAAACAGAAAACCTGCCAGTTGAACAGGTAACAGATATAGCTCAAAGGCAACACAACAAAGTGCTAAAGGAAAACAGCTGGTATATATACTGAGTAGCCAATGAGAGAATGAGGAGCAGGTGGGCAGGGCACAGTCAGGTGATCAGGAACAGGGGAAAAGTCAGAGGACATCTGGTGGCTGGAGTGGAAACAACAAAAGAAGGGCCGACCACATGGCTGAGACAGGAACTTGACAGTTACAGTGTCTTGGAAATAAGGATAACAGCTGGGTACATTCAGTCACTCAGAGAGTAGTGTAATTCATGTAAAAATAATGCTTGTTGGGAAAACTGTAAGAGGTTCACACTTGGTACTCCAGTGATGGAGAGTGCACTGCTGGCATGGCCCTCAGAGCTACAACACAGACAGCTGCAGTTCAAATAAACCAGGATTATTTCTTTATTATCTATTTATTTTTTCTTGTTTCACAGGGAAATCAACTTCAACCTCAGTACCCAATGGTGGAAGAAATGTGCTGATTCTTTGAGATATTGTTATTGTAGAAATCTGCTCCAAAATGCCCCTCCTTGAACCGCCACCTTATTGTGGTGGAGGGGTTTGAGTACCCGAGTGATCCTAGGAGCTATGTTGTCGGGGGCTATATGCCCCTGGTAGGGCTTCCCAAGGCAAACAGGTCCTAGGTGACGGGTCAGACTAAGAGCAGTTCAAAAACCCCTTATGAAAAAATTAACATCAAGGACCGTGACATCGCCCGGTATGGCACAACCGGAGTCCCACCCTGGAGCCAGGCCTGGGGTTGGGGCTTGAATGCGAGTGCCTGGTGGCCAGGCCTTTTCCCACGGGGCCCAGCCGGGCTTGGCCCGAACGAGCAAGGTGGGGATGTCCTCCCGTGGACCCACCACCTGCAGGAGGATTCATAAGGGGCTGGTGTACAGTGGATCGGGCAGCAGTCGAAGGCAGGGGCCCTGATGACCCAATCGCTGGACACGGAGACTAGCCCTGGGGACATGGAATGTCACCTCAATGGTGGGGAAGGAGCCTGAGCTTGTGCGGGAGGTTGAGAGGTACCGGCTAGAGATAGTCGGGTTCACCTCCATGCACAGCTTGGGCTCTGGAACCTTACTCCTCGAGAGAGGCTGGACTCTCCACTACTCTGAAGTTGCCCACGGTGAGAGGCGGCAGGCTGGTGTGGGCTTGCTTATGGCCCCCCAGCTTAGCGGCCATGTGTTGGAGTTTACCCCGGTGAACAAGAGGGTCGTTTCCTTGCGCCTTCGAGCCGGGGATAGATCTCTCACTGCAGAGTACCTGGCCTTCTTGGAGTCTCTGGGAGGGGTGCTGGAAAGTGCTCCGACTGGGGACTCCGTTGTTCTACTGGGGGACTTCAACGCTCACGTGGGCGACAACAGTGATACCTGGAGGCATGTGATTGGGAGGAACGCCCGACACTCAAGTAAAGAGAGGGGCGGAGCTGTCAACTGATCACCACCTGGTGGTGAGTTGGATCTGATGGCAGGGGAGGAAGCTGGACAGACTCAGCAGACCCAAACGTATTGTGAGGGTCTGTTGGGAACATTTGGCAGAACCCCCTGTCTGGGGGATCTTTAACTCCCACCTCCGGCAGAGCTTCGACCAGATCCCGAGGGAGACTGGAGATGTTGAGTCTGAATGGACCATGTTCTCCACCTCCATTAGGGTCTGGGAGGTGTTCGATGAGGCCATGGAGAGGGACTATCGGCCGGCCTCAAAGAAATTCTGGCAAACCATTCGGTGCCTCCGGAAGGGTTGTTTCCCTGCGGTGGGCAGTTGTTGACCTCGACAGGGGACATCGCCAGACAGTGGAAGGAATACTTCAAGGATCTCCTCAACCCCAGTGCCATGTCTTCCGATAAGGAAGCAGAGGCCGGGGGCTCGGACGTGGACTCATCCATCACCCAAGCTGAAGTCACCGAGGTAGTTGAGAAGCTTCTCAGTGGCAAGGGACCGGGGGTGGATGAGATCTGCCCTGAGTACCTTAAGTCTCTGGATGTTGTGGGGCTGTCTTGGCTGACACGCCTCTGCAATGTCACATGGCAGTTGGGGACAGTGCCTCTGGACTGGCAGACCGGGGTGGTGGTCCCTCTTTTCAAGAAGGGGGAGCAATGCGGTTTTTGTCCTGGCCACGGAACACTGGACCAGCTCTATACCCTCTTCAGGGTGGTGGAGGGCCTCAGCATTCCCCTGGAGGAGCTGGAGGAAGTGTCTGGAGAGAGGGAAGTCTGGGCATCTTTGCTTAGACTGCTGCCCCCGCAACCCGGTTCCCGATAAGCAGAGGAAAATGGATGGATGGATGGATGCTCCAAAATGTCTTAATGTGGCGTTGTCGAAGCCCCGTGTGACCCAGACTCACTGAGCAGAGACTTTAGCTTCTAAAAGATTTTGAGCAGGATTGACCAGTCAAAGATTTTTAATTATTTCTGCTTTATCAGTAAGTTTTGTTGCATTTATTTCAATTTCATAAGGACAAATGTCTGAAGAGCTAGGCAGATCATGGATACAGTGGAGCAGGGAGAGGAAGCAGAGTGATTTGGAATTTCATGCAGTGCTACATTAAGTTACATAGTGAAGCATCCAAGTATAAATTATTATGTATGTATGTTATGTACATGGAACTAATTTTAACTGCCCTACAGTGCATGCTATCTTGAACTTAATTACAGTATAGTTTACTTTACTGCTGGGAATCTTGTGACAAATGAAAGAGAATGTGCACACAAACAATCATGTAAATAGAAGATGGAGGTGCAAATAAAGACAGAATGTAATGCTCAATAATACTAACTAAAATAAAGAAATCTAAGCTAATATCTCAAATTGAAATGAATGACAAATATAATTAACATCCTTGAGTTCAGAATTTATTTAACAACAAAACTTTAGAAATGATTAAAAATTCTAAAATGACATATTTGATCTTACACATATAAACATCACATTTAAAAATTTAAGAAAAAAATGAAATGTGTATCACAGTAACATTTCAGTAAAAGCCTACCATTAATTATCGGTTTCTGTGAGTTACTGTCCTTGATGAGACGTACTGTTCCTAGAGAAGATGTGTGAACACATTCAGCCGAACAGCAGCATCAATTCTGTCAAACTTCACCTATAAGGAAACATCACTTCGATCTAGAAATTCAATCGAAACATTTAAATCTGTCATGCTGTACATGAGTACAACACAATTTAACTTGTGGTGCTAAAGATTTAGATTATATAATATGTAATAGAACCTCATTCACAGTGAATTATGTTTTGTTCGCTCATGATTGCGTGTAGTACACTGAAGCACACATCAGTACCCAGGTGTTATGTGGTAGCAGTCCAGACTGAGTTGCTATTTCAGACTGGGAGGCTGAAGCCACAGCTGGTTGTCCCCAGGCTGCACAAAGACTTCACTTACCTACAAAGGCAAACTGTAACCAGCTGTATTGTATCTGTCTTAACAATGAAAGCTTTAAGGGTTTAGATTGTTTTAGTCAGTCAACAAGCCTGCATGTTTTAGGACTGTGGGAGGAAACTGGAACTGAAAGGTGTCAGAGGCGTGTCCCCCCATGGTGAGGTTTATTATGAAAGGAAAAATAATGTAAATTACTTTTGTGCCAGTGAAGTTCATGTGAGGACAGAAGCCTGTTTGTTATGCAATTCCCCAGTTTTACTTTATTTTTCAATTCTAACTGAATACTCGACTGTATTATATTAACAGGCCAGCGACAATGCTCCCTTATAATTTAGCACTTCATCACTTGTCCCCTGTTATCTTGTAAGATGGGAGGAAGGGCAGGTACTGGAAACATCTAAACCGTTTCAAAGCTCTGGTGCAGAAAGGGATATCATGGCAGGACTGCTCACACATGGTTTCGCTCTTCTTATGCACACTGTCCTGCCACTTCTTGATGCCTCTCTCTTCATCAGTGCCTGGGAAAAAAAAAAGACAGGTGGCTCATAGTGATGTTTGCGCTTGTCTGATATTTTGACAGATAAAGTTTGTCATACCTGGAATGGTGTTATCCAGAATGAACCCAAAGAATCCTCCAATGAACATGTGTGTTGTGAAGAGCACTACAATCACTTGATCCAGCTCTTTTATTCCTTCAGACAGAGAAGAGGATAATCAAATGTTACCCTCCAGTAGTTGTAGAAATATTGACAACTATCAGTCTTACAGAGAGATCATCTTTACTCTAGACTCCTCCACGTAGAGGTCAGAGGTCAGTTTACTCAAATAGAGAAAGACAAGCTCTCCTGAACAAACATCATCAAAAACTGGGCCTGACAGTAAATGCTGTAGGAGCTGATCCACCCACAGTGCGGCTCCAATCCATCTGTTGGATGGATCTCATACCTGCTGTCTAGCTTTGTTTGCCAAATGACCCATATCTCTGTGTTGACGCCTCTGAGACATATACTTTTATACATTTCAACTCCCCAAACATGTCCAATAATGACACTGTCATTTAGGCACAAGACTTTTTATGTGATCGGTTTGTGGTGCTCAAACAATATCGGCACACAAGAATATCGATCGGACATTGATATCCTGCAACTCCCAGATTATATTCACTGACAGTGTATTTTTAAGTTCAATGCTGACCTTGTTTTAAAGTTTGTGCTTTGTAAATGATCACAAGTACAGTGTGCTGCAGACAGTCACACTCACTACAGAGGTTTGGATATGTTATGCAAGTAATGCTAATGTAGCCTTAAGTTGCTAGCTTCAAGCAAAAAGAGGAACGTATCATGGAGGTCTGGTCAGATCACTTCTTTTCAACTCCACAATGCCAGATTTTATTATACTTTTTCATTCTTAAACTTTAGTCTTCAGACCCAGTTGTTGCCGACTTATGTGAGGTCAGTCAGAGACAGGTGAGAAATTAAAGGAAGAACCTGAATAAATGAGTGGAGAAACCTAATGAATGCAGATGTTGGCGAGGGTCACTGATGGGAGTGGTCTCTTTGAGGATGAGTGTCACCCTCCATGAGACACGAGTGGTCACACACACACACACACACACACACAGTTTATGTTTCGTAGTCAATGGGGACTTTACATTGACTTACATTCATTTCCTGTAGACTAACCCTAACCTTAACCAGAACCACTACTTGCCTAACCCTAACCCTGACCCCAAACTTAACCTAACCCTAACCTCATCCTAACCCTAAACCATGTTGCCACCCTAAAAGTCAATTTCTTGCCCATGGGGACCTCAATTTAGGTCCCCACCGTGAAATGGGTCCTCATGAGTTGGTATGGAGTCAGGAAGAAGTCCCCAGAAGGAAAAACACATCCACACACACACACGCATTCATATATATATATATATATACACACACTTCCTGCCCAAAGAGGCAGCTGTCAAAGTTCACAGCACCCAATGAGTTGATTTTAAGTTCCACATCCTGTACATCTAAAGACATGTGGATGAGCAGCAGTTTGTTTAGAGAGCACTGACAGACTGCTTCTTGGGAGTTAGCAACAGAGTGTTGATGGTGGGGAAAAACTTGGGGGCAGGAGTACTTTATCTGAGTCGGGCAGATTACAGTCAGTGACATGGGGACTAGCCAAAAGGATTGAGAGCTAAGCAGCCTAGACCTGAAGAAACCAGACAAGCCCTCATACCCAGTGTCAAACTCTGGATTAGCACTTTCCAGGGAGACACTCGCACACATGACTCATGGGCTCAAGGTCTTATGTCTGCAGAGAGGAGGATTGCTCTTTTGACAGGACTTCATAGGAGGGACCACAAAGACACCCTACAGCTGATCAATGTGTAATCAAAAGCAAAGAAATAATTAGCTGATGGCCTGTGATTGATCTCTAATTATTTCTAAGATGTCTGATTTGCGTAAATGGGTCCCACCTATATGAATGTGCATGTTTGCATTATGTTTAGGAAAGCTGAAGAATTTTTCAGCGTTGCAGAAATGTTTCACTTCTTTTTGTCTAAGTTTGTTTTTATTTTTTCCACTTTTTCCTTGACCGCCTGGCTTTTCCTAGCGACTCACCTGACTAGCTAAAGTGACAGAGATGTAATCCGCCGGCTTTTTAACTGCAGCCATAGACATTTGTGTACACTGGAGCACACAGTCAACCCCAGGTTAAACCCGGATTAAACCTGGGTGGAAATGTATAAGACATTTGCCCTCTGTCACCTCAGCACCCTAATTTTCTCACTTGAACCCTTTTCATGAGCAACCACATTGGAAATGGAATTCGTAAATAACTGCTGGAATTTTTTTTTTTACAATGTATGCGTTGTAGCAGATGGGTTTACCACATTACAGCTGTCCAGGCAGGAGCAGGGCAGTTGTCAGTCAAAAACATGTGCTTTTTGAGGAACAACAATGATTAAAAATTCCTGAAAGTCAGTCAGAAATAGCTGCACTAATATGCACAAGTAAGTATGAAAACTATAACATTAAAAACCTGGTATGAAAATTTATGCCATGTGGTAACCTGCGTATTTTTAATATTATTTAATATTTAGTATTTGGCTGGTTGGGCTGGCTAGTATTTTAAATGTGTCCATGATGTTGTTAATCAAAAACCAAGAAACCCCCTTTTGACAGTTTCCAACACTGCACATCTGTGGTTGTTCTCCATGCAGCTAATGTCATGTATGGTCAAGAAAAGCCTGCTTAAATCACCCTGCAGTGACCCTCATCTTCAAACAGCCTATTTAGAGTAAATGAAACTAACACAAAAACACATTCAGGCTCAGGTAAGACAGTTAAAAAGGTTCTCCTTGCTACTCTAAGATCTAGGATAAAGACTAAAGGTAACCAGGTGTTTGCCATCTGGGCCTGTAGAATCTGGGAACACCTTAACCTTAGGAGCTTAGGCCATCCGTCAAGGGTAATCTGTAAGTGGAGCAGTGGGAGCACACTTCTCCCGCTCACTGACAGAGGACCATGTCATTCAGCTCAAAAATATTATCAACATGACTTATTTATTTATTACATTGCTTACTGATTCTATCACAGTTTTATCACCAACAAAAAAGACAGACTTATGATGCTGTCACGATCCATGGCACTTCCTGTCACAGGCTCTTATTTTGGTATATGTCTGCCTCCCTGTCATGCTCAGTCTCTGCTCCAACTTTACGTGCCCTGGCCAGTTCCAGTGACACACTTGTTTTCTATCAGTGTAATCACCAACCATCTTATAAACTGGCTCTCTTCACTTGCTCTTTGCCAGACTGTAAAAACTGTTTCACCAAAGACTCTCCAGGCAGCACCTGTAGATGGTCAACATCCTGCTTCTCTGTCTCCTGTCTCTCATCGACTGGTTTCTACTCTGGACCTCGACTCACCTCGCCCTCAGTTACCTCCTCCCTGTTGGCTCTGACTGTACTAGTTTATTCTTACCTGGCTTTGAACAGTTTTATAACTCCTGGTTTAGGGGACAGAGCTAGTGAGCACACATGTACTTTTATGTGTGTGCCTTTGTGAAAGTCACCTGTGTCAATGATGCCTGGATTGGAGTGAAACCAAGTCGGCAAGACAAGGCCACTGAAGGTAGAGAAGCCAAAGATGATGAGGTTACGGCTTGAGCTGAGGTCCACATACTGGAGGAGGACAGAAAAAGAGACAGGGGAAGGGTTATGCGATACAACCTGGTTAAAAATGATTTATTAACTCTCAGAAGCAATCGATTATTTTGTTGTTCTGTCTCAGCTGGCTGCCATCTCTGTTTTGAAAGTTGACCAAAATATGATTAGAAAAGATCCAGGACTCTATTTAGGTGCAGGATTGGCATTTATGTGGTCATAACAGGCTGGGGTCAACACACAGTGTACTCTGAAAGGTTAATCTAACTGGAAGGAGAAGATTTTTTCCTGCCTCATTACCCTGTACGACCATGATACAGTAAATCTGAGAGGGGCTGTTGATCAATAAAAGAGTCGGCATGCCCTCTACTGAGTTAGCCTCTGTTCCATTAGCTTTGGTTCTAAATGTATTTTCCCACTGAGGATTTCTTTCACTGGTCTTCCGGAAAAACTGAAAAGTGATACTGGGCCTTCCTGTCCATAAGCTAAATCTAAGCACACTATTGTTGCAACCCAGATTAAAATAAGCAACTGTTTTGTAAATACAATATACTGTAGCTCCCACAAGGTTTTGACACCTCAAGGGAACTGTATTTGTTTAATGCAAACAAAATAGCTGTTAGAATACAACTGTCTCGTTCAAGAACCCCTCAGCAGGGTGGATGTTTTGTGTCCCAGGGTCTTGATTTTCAAAAGAGAGCGGAGTCTTTATACTCCATACAGCTGGTGAGTTGGATAAAAGTATCCAGCACACAGAACGTGATACGTGACCATACGGAAACAATGCTTACCTGAAGGTTGGATATCCCCACTGCTGAGATCATTCCAAACATAACAAGGAACATGCCTCCGATAACTGGGTCTGGGATGGTGATGAAAACCGCTCCAAACTTCCCAAAGATCCCCAGTGTGATCATGAGAACACCAGTTGTCTGGAGGACCAGTCTGCTGCCGACCTGGCATAAAGTGAGCACAAGCACTTGTTATCTGGTGTGATGGGTTAATCCATCATTCTCACCATGCTGGCTTTATTTTTACCAGAAGCCTGCAAAATACATAAAACATTCAGTGGTAGCATATGATTTAATCTTTGGTGGAAGCAGCACAGCCTAAAGACAGGCTGTTATTTTAAACAGGATTAAACATATCAAACTGACACACCCTGACTCAGTGATGTAGACATTTGTCAAACCATTTCTAGAAACTGCAGATCAAAAGCAAAAATCCCAAATTATCTCTGTACTCGTTGTCCTCAAACATTGCCAGGCAAAGCAAACAGCCACCCACAAAGAACGCCATGCATACGAACTGATGTCAGTGACTTCATTAATATGAACATAATAGAGTTCCTACTGAGGTCAGCACACATAGAAATGTATTTAAAAAGATTCATTAAAGTCAGTCCCTTACTAATGTTTAGATTTATCAAAAGTCATTAAAGACAAGCAAAAAGCAAGATCAACAATTATCATTATATGAAGTCATACAAAATGTCCACAAGGAAAAATATGTAACAAAAAGAATTAATTATAAAAAGAAAAAAAGAATGTAATGCCATGGAATTTCAAAGTAGAAATATCATGTCTCAAGTCATTGTAATGTCTTGTTGGACTCTGGGTATTACATAGCATTCTAGTAAAATACTCCACTAATATGCAAATAAAGACATAATAAACCTTTTCAACATGAACAGTGTGACTGGTTGCCAAGCGAATACAGCAAAGCGTTTTTATACATGTTCTCATCTGAGTGATATTGATGGGCTCTGGTTTGGTGATAATAAAGATAATCATTTTGAAAACAGGCAATAGTTTAACAGGATATAGTTGACATCTGACATGTGAATAGTGGTGTTTCTCACTTCAGACTCTATAGTAATTATCCTGATATATCTGCAGGTTAATGACCAACACTGTAGCTGTCCAAAATGAAGTTGTTTCAATTCCATAAGTATACATCTCCAGTATATTCTATACCTCTTCATATAGACAAAAGAATCGAATGTATGGCTATTTTTTAATAAAGTATTTGTTTCCACAAGTTGAAATTTCTCAGTTGAATTCTGGTGTTTTGCAAAAAATTGTGAAATAAGTATAAAGACACAGAGCAGCCCCTCCTCCAGTTATATATGACCTTCACTTAAATCCTCAGCCTGGTCAGCAGTTCAGACAGTGAGACTCACTAACCTCAACTCATTCCCCTCTACTTGACACTCAGTACATACAGTAGCTGTGTGCATCATGTGTGTAGAATATATACAACACAGCACATGAGAGTTCCTGCATTGTGTGTGTGTAAAGTCCATGATGATCATATCAAACAGCTGCCCTCAAACAGGCCTTAAAGTTGGAACAATTAATGATTACTGATTCCCTACTATCTAATCCTTTGACCTAAAATCTAAACCTGAATATATTTTTTAAATTATTTATTTATAATCACTTACTATTGGATCTTCCATTGTGCAGTGGAACTGATAACTGGAGATGACAGTGCATTCTGGGTAGGATGTGAACCCTGTTGGCCTCTCATTAGGTCCTTGAAGGGCTGAGTTTACAAAAGCCCATTGAAGTTTTCATTGTAATCTACCGACACTGAAAACAGCAGCAGGGATTCTTCCAAGGGCAGTTAACCATCAAAGTGCTCTGCCAGACCTCAAGGAGTTTCACTGACTGAGGCATGAAGTGACAAGTATTTGTCTGTCAGGATACAGGTAACTGGTCCTGCAATTCAGAGATAATCTGGCACTGGTAGTATAAGTAAGGAAAAACGGCTGTGAGAAGAATAAGACTTACACGTTTATGCTGTCAGTGTTTGAGTTACAGTCAGTCGGCTCATAAGCAATTACAGCACTTTTCAAATTATTTCAGTGGCATACTGGTTTGTCTGTAGAAAGACAGAACCGGGGGCAGGACAAATAAAACACAACAACAAAGTAGAACAACATAAAGTAATCCAAATAATAAGAGGATGAAGAGCCTCACCTGGGCCGGGTGTCGAACGCCTTAGAAAACAGATAGTGTGCAGAAAGTGACCAGGTTCAGAGCAGATCTAATGGTATAAGGGGCCCTGTTCCTTAATCCACGGACTACCACTGCAACTGCTATCAATACACCTGATGATGTCAAAATATGGGATTTTCAAATCCTACACAAAGTGATATTTAAGTTGAGCTAACAAATATTTTTATTTCTTTATAGGTAGACTTATATGACTGTGTGAAATATAAAAGGTGTGATTCCTAAACCCAGAGTATCGTCACTGCATCTGCAGCACTGTGAAGCTTTTAGCCTCTTTAAACTCTTTTGGATTGATGTAATGTCCACTTTATGGTTCAGCCTCAGCGATCTCCTCAAGCCTATTCCATCAGCAGCAGGCAGCTATGTTCCCTAAACAGGGGATGATAAATCCACTGTATGCTGCCTGTCCAGCAGCAACTGGCAGACAAACTTAACTACTAGCTGGTGAAGAAAGTGAGCATCTAGTCAGGCATCTTTAATAGCAGTTGAGTGAGACCAGTCACTAGGAAAATGACTCCAAATAGATGCAAATGTTGCTTGTCTACATGATGTATAAATAAGCAACTTTGCTAAAATGTTAGCTAATGACTTATTATTCTTAGGACTGTAGGGTGGTCAGCCTTTCACAGAATCCTTTTTGCCCCCCAGTGGCCAGAAATGAATGCAGCTTTAAAGAGTACTAAGAAACTTTTAAGACTAATATGACGTGTACCTTGGTAATGCCAAGCGCAGCAATGTTCTGGCTGTAGGAGGTGGTGCCATTTCCAGTTCCCCACAGTGCAGCCAGGATGCAGCCGATGCCCTCCACAGCGATACCTCGATTGACGGCGTGAGTCGGTGGTGGAGGGGCACCGCACAAGCGAGCACAAGCGTAGTAGTCACCGATTGATTCCATGGTTGATGCCAAGACCCCTGCCATCATACCCAACACTGAAGCTAGACTCACTGTGGGCATACCCCACTGACCTATGGGGACAAAATAAGCACACTTTTGTTTCCATACTCATCACTAAAGACATAACGAGGGTTGTTCCAGGTCTGGGTAGCAGAATAGATTAATGTTCCATGTTTCGTTTGACCGAGTGAATGGCCAGCAGGCTGCTACCAGATGACCTGAGAAGCCCAGGGGTTAAAATGTTAAAAGCCAAAGTTGTCATTGACTCCTTAGGCACTGAGGGATTTGTCGACAGCAGTGTCAACAACATCTGCCAGATCAAACATTTGCATGACACATGATGCCAATTTTACTTCGTCTTCTATACAAACAACAGATCCAAATAACATGCTAAGATTGTTTTGCAAGAGTTTAATGCAGTGAATAAATTCAAGCAGAAACAAATAGGTTACTTGTAAACATGATGGACAAACTGGGAAGAGTAGAGACTGGCAAGTCCTGAGATGGAGATTTAATGGAGACCATGACTATATTACAGACCCTTCACATATCAGCTCTGTACTCTCTACTCTCTGTTATCCAAAAAATAAAGTTATGTGTTGATGAGAAAAGTCACATTTGTCTGTATTCTTGTGTTCGGCTCCCATGAATGTGTCTTTGGAAGTTTTGGTACATTTACAGAAGAGTGCAGATGAAGGGAGAAAATCCACGGTGGTATCCTCACACAAACGATCAACAGGTGATCATGGAATACGAGCTCTCTGCAGCCACTGGCTCTTAAGGCGTCGCTTGGCTTTTTCTAATAACCCAAAACCTGCGTACAGCAGTATAGGATTAAAAGCTTGATTAGGTTTGCTGAAGTTCAGTTCTTCACAACATGGTTGCAAAACTCATATACAAGCCTCTGTACAAACCAAAAAACTGCAGATTAATTTTAGAAGTTTTCATCTCACAGAATACAGTTATACACCAATTCATCCATGAGTCCATAGACCTTCGGGTGTCCACTGGCAATCAGTGGTCACAAAATGCTCAGTGCGCCATATGCAGACATACAGTAAGTCAACATGTATGCAGAAAGCTTAGCGATGCTTTTAACTTGATTCCATTTTAAATGTTATTATTTTATGTACATTTATTGAAAGACACAATAAGGTCATATAAATTACAAAGCAGACTGCCAATTGCTTCCCAGTTAAGATAATCATCATCTGGACTGGCCGGTGCATAGTGGATTGGGCAGCAGTCGAAGGCAGGGGCCCCGACGGCCCGATCTCTGGACACGGAGACTAGCCCTGGGGACATGGAATGTCACCTCGCTGGTGGGGAAGGAGCCTGAGCTTGTGCAGGAGGTTGAGAGGTACCGGCTAGATATAGTCGGGCTCACCTCCACGCACAGCTCGGGCTCTGGAACCTTACTCCTTGAGAGAGGCTGGACTCTCTACTACTCTGGAGTTGCCCGCGGTGAGAGGCGGCGGGCTGGTGTGGGCTTGCTCATAGCTCCCCAGCTTAGCCGCCATGTGTTGGAGTTTACCCCGGTGAACGAGAGGGTCG